TCGCTCAAAATTGTAATTAAATGACAGATAAATGCACACAAAAACGCACTGGATAACAGTAGTGTAAGCAGACGAAGAAGAAATGACAACTTAATGTTAGTATCGCTGTTTTGCACTATGCCAACACGATCGCATTCAAAATCGTCTCCAGAAGATGGGTCTGTTCCTCAGTCAACTTCACTAGGTCAGGATTATGAGTTTCAGCCAGCTGTCCAATACCCCGTGACAGAAACACCAATCCGAATTCATCCAGCTTCAATAATCTTAAGGAAAAGACCGAATCCAGCAATCAGTCAATCACTCAATGAATCCGTCGATCAATCAACACGTTGATCAAACAGTCAATCGGTCGATGTTTCAATCAGTACGACAGTCAGTCAACACAACACACACATGTCATGCGAATTGGTTTTTTATACATCCTTCAAGTTTATATCGAACTCATGACATCTTGGTCGGATTCCTTAGCAATCACTTCCGGCGTGGACTTTTCTTGTGACTCATTATTCCACTTTGGAATTACTGATAATTTGGAGCGAATCATTTTGGAATAAATAAGTCGTGACATAGTTATGTTTCGGATGAATTCATATCCAATGTTGTTTTTCCTCATAATGCAGCTACTACGTGTGACGCTTTCTCGTATGCTTGCATATAAACAACGCATGACTGAAGGAAATAATTCAAATAGAGGAGGCTAGTACGTGTGATCTCGACAAGATGCGCTGCACTAGACGAGGAGCTACTGCACACAGTAAAAATAGACTCAAGGTTGCACAGACACAAATAGCAATGGTTTAAGACAGATGTAATCAGCACAGAAAAAGCATCAAAGAAATAATAGTCGCGAGAAAAGTAAAAGCATGTTGAAAAAATGAACGAACGAAGGGGAAAAATACAATAAAACATAACACATGATAATAGTCCTTAAACTAGTGCTGGAAGTTACCATTCCTTCAGAGTTTGGCGCATATGACAGTCAGTAGGTCAGTTAGTTCAATGGTCTGTCAGCAACTAAATAAATAAACAAATCAATCAAGCAACCAACAGACACTGCACAATAACACATCTCGTGTGAGTGTATGTAGGAAAAGATATGCACAGCACTTGATGTTATGCAACATAATGTGAACCTACCGAAAGCAACTCCAGTAGTAGTTGATGACGGGCTGGTCATCAGCACAGTCGATCTTGCAGTCATCGTCTCCATCGACGTGGTCCTGATCGGCTGCCTCGATTCTGTCGACACACTTGTTTCTGTTTGTCCGAGACCGTCAGTCGACTTCACAGTGCTTGTTCGTGGACCTGTTGAGTTAAACGGAAAACACATGTAGTTGTATTCATCGTTCAGAAATATCTTCTTCCTGTCAGCTTCCATACAGGACTACGGTGGTTGATATTTCGACCATCTAATTATTATTATTATTATTATTATTATTATTATTATTATTATTATTATTATTATTATTCTACTAACAAGATGTTGTTTGTCCGACTCAACAGAACATCAACTCATGCACAACAACACTTCGAATTGCATAGTCTACACGATTAGTTGAGATAGAGAAGACTGAGTCTTCATTGCAGCTGTAAATTCCGGACAGAATCCAAAACTTAAAATAAGACAACTACCTTTATATAGTGACACTCAGTGACCATAGCACGCATTGCGAAAATCACAACCACAATTCAGGCAGTAGCAAATGTCATTGAAGAAGTGTGAATTCGAACAATCTTATCTGGGTTATCCTTCAATCGATAAACTGACATGCAATAACAAACACCCATACATACTCATCTCTCCTTAACACACCGATTCACTCTTCACAATTTAGAAAACCTGCACAAATCAATGCTACACAACACGGTCTCACACTACAGAAATGCTACACCGTACATTGTAAACAGCCAACAATCGACATCATCAACATTACCACGATGCATGTGACCTGTGAAAGAAAACTGGAGAGTCTCACACCTCCCTATCCATCAGTAAGTCAGTCACTAACTCCACGTATACGTTTTCCATGGTGTATTGATCTCTCTGCTGGATGCTTCCACTACGAGTGTGCACATCCAACATTGGGAACAATCGGCTGATAAACAATACTGTCACTGTTCTCCTATCTCAATGGCGCCACACTCAGTGTCTCGCCTAACTATCATCTCATCTCATCTCATCTCATCTCACATCACATCATATCATATGAAAACATATCATTGGCAAAATGGGCAACAACAATTGACGACTTACGATATGCTGTGATGTTTCTCAAACTTGGTCCACTCTTGATATTCAGGAGTGTGCATCCACGAACCAGAGTCTCCGTGAGGTCAGTCTCAGTTGGTTGTGATCCACGAGACAAATGCAACTGCACACTCGCAATTCCTCGAACAGCTTCGATTGAGACACGATTGACACCCGCGTCTGTGTGAGCTTGGCCAACACCGTCAATCCAGATCATGATCCGAATGAAGACAACACGGACACAAGTAGCACCTCGAGAGAACTCTTCACTACCCAGACGTAGTCCGCTCAATAGCTGCAACGTGCAAAACAAAATCACACAGAATACACAATCAGTCGATTAGTCAGTCTCTCGATCCGTCGTTCGCTTGCTCATATATCAACACCACAACTACAATTTTCAATTAGACCGGTGTCGACCAGTGCTCATCATCGCTATCATCATTATAATGACCAAGTGCATGACCACCACTTCACAAATGGACAATCACTTACAATCACTGGCTTACTCATTCAACTAACCGACGCTCACACTACCAATGTGAACACCACTCAATACACCAATTCATCACTACTCGCTTCAATCTCACACTCACATGACCACTAACTCATTACCTGCTCACCTACTTACTCACCACCTACTAATAACTTCTTACCTACTCACTAACTCATTGCCTTCTCACAAACGTCCGTTCTCACACACACACACACACACACACACTTCCACGCCTACTTACTAGCTCAGTCTGTACATTACACATTCATCAATTTGATTCAAACGATGCCCCTCTCTCTCTCTCTCTCGCTCTCTCGGAGATCTTCACTCCTGTCATTTCACAGAACCATTAGTCCACTACACTGGTGTCATTCGAACAATCCACACACTGCTTCTCTGATTATTGCATACCAGTACACTAAGAACACAATAACCATAACCAATGCACACCTACCAGGTCACAAATCGACATCGACAAATTTCTGTACATGACACTTGACTCATTCGACAGATCAGTTGACCAATTCATGGGCACTGACCGTTCTTCAATGTAGATCACAATATCCACCTCGAACACGGAGATCTCTACAAATGGAAAGGAGTGAAACATTTCATATCGATGAAAGTAATCATATTAATATTCATGTCATGAATACCACTACCACTACTACCATTATTAATATTATTATAATAATCATTATTATTATTGTAAATATTATGATTATTATTTTTGTTAGTAGTGGTATTATTGTCATTGTTAGTAATTTTATTAGTAATATTATCATCACACTTGTCATTAGCTCTACTATCAGAGTGTTATTAGCATTTACGTCAACAACGATGATAATAGTGCAACAAACTGTACCAACACCTGCATAACGATGTTGATAATCCTGAACATGATGAAGACGATTAGGGGGAAGGATTTAATCACCGAATCGATGTTGGAGCTGATGGTTGTTAGTATAATCTTGACAAATGTTTTCATTTTCCTGGTTTTCTACCACTCGTCACAGTTCGCTCAAAATTGTAATTAAATGACAGATAAATGCACACAAAAACGCACTGGATAACAGTAGTGTAAGCAGACGAAGAAGAAATGACAACTTAATGTTAGTATCGCTGTTTTGCACTATGCCAACACGATCGCATTCAAAATCGTCTCCAGAAGATGGGTCTGTTCCTCAGTCAACTTCACTAGGTCAGCATTATGAGTTTCAGCCAGCTGTCCAATACCCCGTGACAGAAACACCAATCCGAATTCATCCAGCTTCAATAATCTTAAGGAAAAGACCGAATCCAGCAATCAGTCAATCACTCAATTATTCCGCCGTGCTAGCAAGAGATGGTTCTGTTCCTTCGTCAAATTCACTAGGTCAGTATTTTCTGTTAGATCATTTATATGTATATGTATATAGTGACTATATCAAATGCGTTCATGAATGTTGAATTTGTATCAATAATTCATTGCTTGATCCGAAGCATGTTGAATGATATTAATTCAAGTGTATGTGATGTGTAAGTTAACACAGCCCGTACACTTACATAGAAACAGTGAGGGTTGAATGGTGAATAATTAACAAGTTAAAATTGTATCTTTTTGAGAATGGATAGGTTGGTTTGTCCTGAAGTTAGAATAAGCTATGTGGGCTCGACATTTAACCAGGCACTAAATAGTCCGTGTCATTACGAAGGTTTGACTTGATAATCTCAAATAAATTGAGCATTAGGTAGATGGTTTTTAATATCCCAATCAGTAGAAAAATCAAGTTTTTTAAATTTTCCGACGTTTCGTGACTCAGTGTAAGCCACCTCTTCAGAGAAGAAATAAACAAATTGAATCAATCCAAATTTAAATAATGCCTTCTATAGATAGATACATTCATTATATTTAGTCTTAAAGTAGAAGTCTTTCTTTCATTTCACAATAAATGAATTTGTCTATTCTATTAAATTACGTCCACAATTATTCGCTGTATTATTACAGTTTACAAGAAATCTTGGTATGTCATGGTATTAGCTAGCTCATTTGCTTATCTTATATCGATTGTCTCTTTCATACTTCATCGTTCCGTCATTCCAGCTGCTATTACAATTACTTTCTGTCAGGAATTCGACTTCTGATTCGTGTGACATACTATTTATTTCTTCTAACATAAGTAGTATACATCAAACTATTATAATTTATGAACAAAATTATAACCAATATAATAAAGAATAAACTCAAACTTATTCATAGATTATTTTTTGTTGTTGTCATAATCTACCTTCTAAATTGTCTAATGTAGTATCAGTTGTTGGTTTTATCATAGGTAACGTAGTTGTTTGATTGATTTTCATCTTTTCTGTAATAGTCATTATTGGTAATGTTTGAGTGGTTTTAAGATCAGTTGATATACCTAAAATATAAATTGAATTGTATAATCTAATTAGTAAAACAAAAACCGAATTCATCTGTATAAACTGAACAATTTCTCATTTCTACTTGAAGTAATCCACAGTAAATTTATCAAGAAAGAATTACTTTAGATAAGAAATGTATTGGAATTATATTCTATTCAGTTAGGTTACTTGGATAGATTGAGTTGTGGTTAGTAACATATAATCTATCATGTTATAACTTTAAGCATAGCTAGTTATCACCTGGTTTACTCATCAAACGAAATACCACTTATTCAATCTTAGCACTGTGCCAAACCAATGACGTTCGAACAGTATGAGCAGCCTAGCGTCTTATTGGTCATTTATCCGTCTAGCCCGTCCAGTTGAATCCAGAACACCAACAGCTTTTACTATACAAATAATTTATTTCAAACATACTTGGTTTATATACCAGCCAAACGGACTGCATCACACCATAAAGTAGGAAATAACAAGTAGCTGTGAACGTTGGAGACATTAATTAGTGAACTGAACATAACTTAAGAACAATCAGTCGTGCAATAATAATCCATACGTCAAAATGAAGCTTATAATAAGAGGAATATAAATATACAAAATCCAGTTACTCAACAATAATACAATAGGAATATATATATATCATATTAGTCTATTAATAGTTCTTGGAATTTACCCGTAGTTTAATCATCACTAGGTTCCAACATACTAGTGTAATAAAAAATTCACTGCAACTGTTACACTTAAGTTACTATAGATAGTTTGTTTGGATTTACGAATATCATTGTTTACATCATGGACAAGTCTTAAACGAACACTGGGAATCAGGAAGCGGTGAACAAGCTTCTTGTCATAGTACAGAATTTCGTTTTCAACAGTGCCTATATACAATGTCATCAAGAATCACGATGAGTATTTGTTATTGTTTCATATCTGAGTTGGCATCTTACATATTTAGCCTCAATCAGTTCTAGATATCATGCAATCATTTTTAATGCCTAAGGTGACTAACTGCTTTATAACGAACATGGTACTTGATCTGATTAATTTTTGCTTTGGGAGAATAGAAGTGCGCACATCATGTAAACATTCACATTGAAATGACTGTCTACTGCATTTTCTAAACTTTATTTACATTCAGGAAACTAGGTTTAACCTTCAAGATGTCTATTTCAAGAAATAATATGACTTTTGTAGTACCATTCCACCAAGATTTAGTGATATGCTTGCTGCAAACTATATGAATCTTTCTAAAACTAGCCAAGTATTCACAATTGATTGATCATGGCGTAATGATAAAAATTTCACATGTTTCAAGGCGTTCTTATTGCAGATCGAATCCTATCGACCAAGTTGCAATGTGGCAACTAGTCAATAGTGAATATATCTCAGTCGTACAGGAGGTCAGTCGCAGCCCGAACAGCTCAGTCGTAACGTCTCTGACTGTGAAGCTTGTTGAAACAGGATTGAATGTGTTATGGAGCTGACGAGTGCCAAATAGCACGAAACGCGAGTTCAGGGTTTCCTGTTGACTACCTCCAACTACCATCTTACTAGTCAACTGCACTCATTAACAAAATCATATTCAAACATTAATCTAAACTGTAATTCATAAAACTGTATAAATTAAAATCTTACTTGAAAATTGTATATCAATTAAAATGAATTGTGATATGATTGTTAAGTGCTTCCATCCTTCATTTAAAATCTCTGTCATCCTATTGTCTGGAATTGGTAATGGTAGTAGTAATTTCGCTTCTAATGTAATTGTCACTGAGATCTGACTACTAATATTATAGGTTACGGTGGAATTTCGAAGATTAGTGGTATTATTATTACTACTATTATTATTATTATCATGCATACTTTGCATTGTTATAGGAATTTTTGTGAATTTAATGTTAAGAATCTTGAGAGATAAAGCAAATTGTAAATCTAATATTTCCATTACATTGTTGATCTATAACGTAAAAAAACAAAAGAAAAAAAGAAAGGAATTATCAGAATATGTGCTTTGTGGAGATTGTAGTAATTGAACAGTCGAAGTGATGAGTCGATTAAAGCTAGATGACCATGGAAAACAATTAAGCACTGGACACGGTTCGAATCCTGTGAGCAAGATCATGGTTGCACAATGCTGAGGAGCCGCATACCGGGACGAAACGGCCATCCAGTTCTTCTAGTTTTTCAATAGTGATCTAGATTTAATCAACTCATGAATTCAACTATGAAAGAAATTACTTGGATTTAATGTATATTCAAACTGTGTTTGAATAGACTTCGGTAGCAGGACAATGCCCTCATAATAGAAACATAAAAATAGAAATTGGTTAAGGATAAGTCTTAGCATCAAAAATTAGGAATTGTAATCTCACAGATTGAAATCATGAGTCAGTTGAAGCTAGACCACCATTGAAAACCTGTAAGCACTGGACGGCCGTTTCGTCCTAGTATAGGACTCCTCAGCAGTGCGCATCCACGATCCCGCACCACGCGGGGCTCGAACCCAGGACCTACTGGCTTCGCGCGCGAGCATTTAACGTATGTTTAGTTTATTGATCATACTTCCCATTAAGACACAATTATTCACCGTCCTAAATTTGGATAATATAACAAGAAGACGAAGTTTACCAGGTCTATACTTGACGTATATCAGCACAATACAAATAATCTAGTTATACATATATACTTGTCAAGATAATCTTAGATGCAAAATTACAGGTCAACTATACAACATAGGTTAGAAGAAACAAAGTGATTCACATAACAAACTGATTTCGAATACATAAGGGTGATTTGAAATTTCGTTTAGTCAAGGGATCAATAAACCACATATGCAACACTAGGATGGTTGATCTGATATGAACCATCCATGGACCACTGTAACTGTTTATAAATGATCTAAGAAACTTGTCTCTCCTATGTTTTTATTTGACCATTGGAATTCATTTGTTACTGTAACCACTTCGATATGAATTCAGTCCTCATTAATTAGGGATCACGATTATTTCTCTCCCGTAAGCATATATGCACATACATATTAACAGATAAACAAAGTGGGATTTAATACACTTGTTTACATGATGTTTAGGATTTTGTTGGAGCCCTGATCTACAATTTTCGATGATGATGAGTTGGTCGGAGTTAAAAAGCCAACTAATCTCTAGTTTAGATCTTCATTTAAAAACAAGACCACTTCAATCACCTCTAAGTAGTAGGATAATCTGGCCCCTTTAGTTTAATCCCAAAATGTCATAAGTTTCATCATACTGTGGCATATCTATCGGCTGATGTTGTGAACAGGGAAACAAGAAGCCCTGACAAACTACTAAAGCTGTTTATCGGGACGTTATTTCATTTTATTTAAAGCTTGTAAAACACTGACATTTATTTTTGTCCCTATTTTATTCTATAGGACATGAGCTTTCGTTCGATTTGTCATTCATTGCCATACCCCTTTTTGTTCCGAGGCTATTGTAATTTAAACATAGTATTTTGCACTTTATTTTCTACCCTAATTCCCAGTTTCGGACATAATTGTATTTTTCCAAATTATTGTACGTTGTGGTCAGGTAAATCACCTATTTATTCATGTACCTTGCGTCAGGTCTTCATCTAGAGTAGACAGATCAAGGTCATAATAGCTGATAAGTATCATTATCTTTCTTATCTCTCGTCTCCTAATTTGTATAGTTAACCTATTATTTTTCATCTGAATGTCTCAGCAAATCTGTGTATACATGTGATCTAATTGTTCATAGTGTATTGACCTAATACACATCACGTATAGTTACGGTAGACTTCATCTTCTCATTGATTTATTCAAATGATCTCAATATTTTGTATATAACCAACGGCACTTCGTCCATCCACTAACCCAATATATATAAATCATAATTGTAAGAATGAGACCTGTATATTAGGATTTTTCATTTGTTGCTTATATGTAATAATGGAAATTCGATATATGAGACATCTGTCAATGATTTGTCCAGATTTTTATCAATGTTCTCTTTTTCATTTATTACCAGTTTAATAATAAAAAAAAGCGATTTTATGGTTGAATTCATGAGTCAATTGAAGGTAGACCACCATGGAAAACCTGGAAGCACTGGATGGCAGTTTCGACCTAGTATAGGCCCTATAGTACTTCGAAGTGCTACAAACTACGACGAAACAACTGTCCAGTGCTTCCAGGTATTCAATAATGATGATCTAACATCAATCTTTTACAGATCTATTGTAAATATCACAAAAATACATCAATTATATCCTATAAGAAATTAACATACTTGATTTTGTATATCTAATGAAAAATTCTGATAAATTTCACTTGAATTATCAATTAAATCATCTAACCATTCCATTGGTTGAAATGATTTTGAAAAATAAATGAATCCACTGATTTGACATAGAATTGGATCTGTAAATTCAATTGAAATATTTTATAATCAAATGGAAATAAACAGGTGAGTTTGATTATATTCAATACAATGGTAGATAAACATACATGTTTGAGTGAGATTAGAATTTATGGATGTTAGATCCCGATAAACATAATGAATGGTAACTTTGGGATCCTTTCATGGACCAATACTAAACGTATATTTTTATCGTATAATTGTTAAATAACTAAACTATTCATATTCATATTCCTCTCATTATAAACTTTATTTTGACCTATGAACCATTATTATACGTTTTACCATTGTTGAATTATGCCCTGTCTATTATTAGTCATTGCCACATTCACAGCTGGATTTGGCCAAATGTTGTGCAAATGTTATTTTCTATCTTATGGTTCGTTGTGGTCTGTTTGATTGGTATATAACCTGAATATGTTTGAAATATAAGGAGTCATAAAGCAGAGGTTGAGACTGGTGTTCTTGACTAAACTGGCTGGGCAAGGCGGGAAGCAGGACCAATTAGGACTCTAGGCTGCTCGCAAGTGTTTTACGAGTCATTGGTCCGATCGATAATTCACTGTTTCTGATTGGCGGCTTTGGGGTATGACAATGGAGGACTTTTGAGTGATGTTGAAATGATCTTGACAATGTCAATCTACCTACTAGGACTATATGATGGTTCTACAGCAGTGTTAGGATTAAGGATTATGATTGATACTTGAGGGTTATGGTTAAGTGTTAGATTTAGGGTTGCTTTCATTGAGTAGACTAGGAATATTGAGGGATATAGTTCTTTGTAATTCCCAAAATGCACCACTTATTATGCAAATTATGTTAAATGTTTAAGCTATTCATTAAGCTTCAGTATTGTTTGACAAACATTTATTGACCTTCATATTTTTGAAGCTTTGATCACGAACATATACAAATATATATCTTATGAACCTTAAATGTTACTCATGATTGATTCATATTGTAAATTATCTTGAGACTACTCTATGTAAATGTGCGCATACACTGAACACCTTTGAGGCATCTTGAGTTGTGAAATAGAATTAGGATGGTGGTTGGAGGTAGTCAACAGGAAACCTTGAACCTAGGCTTCGTGTTACTTGGCACTCGTCAGCAAGGTGTATCTGTAATCTTGAGGGAACTGATGCTCCCTGTCACCCAGCTACACAGTTACCACTGATCTATCCGGGCCACGACTGACCTCCTTTAGGACCGAGATGTATTACCAACTGACTGATCAGTGGGTGATGTACAGTCACCAAGACTGGTGGTTACATTGCAACTTGATCGATAGGGTTCGATCTGCACTAAGAAGGACCTGGCATACATGACATTGATCACCACCCAGTGATCAATCAATTGCAGATAGAATTAATTGTTTTCATGATTCAGAATAGAGATAAATAATTGTCATAAATTGTTCACGTCGTTCACATCGTGTAGATTATCATATTGTTCATATTTGGATTGAATTTTAATCAATAAACAGGATAATCTAAATCATGACAGATGAAATCAAAATTCATAGTCAATGTACAAGTAACCGGTTGTATGAACTCATTAGTGAACTGGATAGCATGTTATGTTTCTGCTGAGAAAGTTACTAGGTACAAATCTTGTAGTAATTAACAAACCGAATACAGGTATATCCAGTTAATAAGAGCAAATAACATGAAACATATATCTAAAATATAATTACTAGCCATATCACATATTTCCCCTATTTCTAAATATTCGTATTGACATGAGTTAGAATAAACAATTTAAAAAAAGTTTCATTGAAAGAATACTTGATGAAATTTAATTTCTTAGGTAATCATGATAATATTACTAATCCTATTCTATGATGTATCAACTTACAATCAATTTGTGGTTTTGAAGTAGTTGTAGAGTGTATTCGTGTAAATTGATCATCAGTTCGATTATGAACTACTGGAATTGTTGAAACAGGCAAAGTTATTTTAGATTGTGTGGTTAGTTCTTTATATTCAGATGAAGTAGATCTTTGTGTAGTCAGTGTTGTTGAACTAAAGGTTTCTGTAATGAAAGAATTATATATATTATTAGACGAAGAATCTATTATTCAATAAAACTAAAGATATTTCTGTTGGGGACGTTAGATCCTCATAAATCACTTAGGAAACCATCTAATTTTGTAATTTATTTACGATATTTGAATTTCTTTGTTTTCGCGCCAAAGGCGCTCTTGTCAGCTTCATGTCGTATTCCCCACTGGGAAATATCTTCAATGCTATTGGTCCGTTGCGTCTTTTAGTATGCTACTTGGTAACTCTCCTCAAGGACAGTTTTGCACTGTATATATACGTTTTGAAATGTGTTTGTTGTGATCGTTCATTTCTGGCTCTTTACAGGATATAATTCCCCATTCCAAGCTTGGACGTCTCTGTCTAGTTAGCGGGGCTGGGACGCATCAATAGCTAGCTTACTGATCTTTGGTCAACGAGTCATGTTCTCGTTCGCCAAGTAAGTGGACTCGTGATAGCTTCAAACCTAGTAATTTCTCTCAAAGGGTATTACATGATGAATTGTTATATCATGGTTCGTTATTTATGATTGGTACATATATGATTTTACATAAGCGTGCATCCATAAAACGTTACATATTCACATGACATCATAAATAATACATCTATGAAATTTTATGTAGTCGCATTCACATGGGCACAGTAAACTGATGTTAATTTAAATAAAAGTTATTAATGGGCAGGATTGCATGTGAATGATGTTAATTCACCAGAGATCCAAAATTGATTTGGCGGATATTAATTAAGTTATAACTTCAAATTAAAATGACAGAAAACTTAATCACACAATGATAACCAATATCAAATACCCGAATTTAAAAAAACCAAACACATTTTGTCGGTTACAAAGACACTAACGGCGAACAACTGAACCAACCAGAGAAAAAAAATCGATCAAAAGAAAATGATCTTAAATAAATAAAGATGGATGAGATTCACGCACAAGACTAACAGAAAACACACACAAATCTCGTGAGAGCGTATGTAGGAAAAGATATGCACAGCACTTGATGTTATGCAACATAATGTGAACCTACCGAAAGCAACTCCAGTAGTAGTTGATGACGGGCTGGTCATCAGCACAGTCGATCTTGCAGTCATCGTCTCCATCGACGTGGTCCTGATCGGCTGCCTCGATTCTGTCGACACACTTGTTTCTGTTTGTCCGAGACCGTCAGTCGACTTCACAGTGCTTGTTCGTGGACCTGTTGAGTTAAACGGAAAACACATGTAGTCGTATTCATCGTTCAGAAATATCTTCTTCCTGTCAGCTTCCATACAGGACTACGGTGGTTGATATTTCGACCATCTAATTATTATTATTATTATTATTATTATTATTATTATTATTATTCTACTAACAAGATGTTGTTTGTCCGACTCAACAGAACATCAACTCATGCACAACAACACTTCGAATTGCATAGTCTACACGATTAGTTGAGATAGAGAAGACTGAGTCTTCATTGCAGCTGTAAATTCCGGACAGAATCCAAAACTTAAAATAAGACAACTACCTTTATATAGTGACACTCAGTGACCATAGCACGCATTGCGAAAATCACAACCACAATTCAGGCAGTAGCAAATGTCATTGAAGAAGTGTGAATTCGAACAATCTTATCTGGGTTATCCTTCAATCGATAAACTGACATGCAATAACAAACACCCATACATACTCATCTCTCCTTAACACACCGATTCACTCTTCACAATTTAGAAAACCTGCACAAATCAATGCTACACAACACGGTCTCACACTACAGAAATGCTACACCGTACATTGTAAACAACAAACAATCGACATCATCAACATTACCACGATGCATGTGACCTGTGAAAGAAAACTGGAGAGTCTCACACCTCCCTATCCATCAGTAAGTCAGTCACTAACTCCACGTATACGTTTTCCATGGTGTATTGATCTCTCTGCTGGATGCTTCCACTACGAGTGTGCACATCCAACATTGGGAACAATCGGCTGATAAACAATACTGTCACTGTTCTCCTATCTCAATGGCGCCACACTCAGTGTCTCGCCTAACTATCATCTCATCTCATCTCATCTCATCTCACATCACATCATATCATATGGAAACATATGATTGGCAAAATGGGCAACAACAATTGACGACTTACGATATGCTGTGATGTTTCTCAAACTTGGTCCACTCTTGATATTCAGGAGTGTGCATCCACGAACCAGAGTCTCCGTGAGATCAGTCTCAGTTGGTTGTGATCCACGAGACAAATGCAACTGCACACTCGCAATTGCTCGAACAGCTTCGATTGAGACACGATTGACACCCGCGTCTGTGTGAGCTTGGCCAACACCGTCAATCCAGATCATGATCCGAATGAAGACAACACGGACACAAGTAGCACCTCGAGAGAACTCTTCACTACCCAGACGTAGTCCGCTCAATAGCTGCAACGTGCAAAACAAAATCACACAGAATACACAATCAGTCGATTAGTCAGTCTCTCGATCCGTCGTTCGCTTGCTCATATATCAACATCACAACTACAATTTTCAATTAGACCGGTGTCGACCAGTGCTCATCATCGCTATCATCATTATAATGACCAAGTGCATGACCACCACTTCACAAATGGACAATCACTTACAATCACTGGCTTACTCATTCAACTAACCGAAGCTCATACTACCAATGTGAACACCACTCAATACACCAATTCATCACTACTCGCTTCAATCTCACACTCACATGACCACTAACTCATTACCTGCTCACCTACTTACTCACCACCTACTAATAACTTCTTACCTACTCACTAACTCATTGCCTTCTCACAAACGTCCGTTCTCACACACACACACACACACACACACTTCCACGCCTACTTACTAGCTCAGTCTGTACATTACACATTCATCAATTTGATTCAAACGATGTCCCTCTCTCTCTCTCTCTCTCGATGATCTTCACTCCTGTCATTTCACAGAACCATTAGTCCACTACACTGGTGTCATTCGAACAATCCACACACTGCTTCTCTGATTATTGCATACCAGTACACTAAGAACACAATAACCATAACCAATGCACACCTACCAGGTCACAAATCGACATCGACAAATTTCTGTACATGACACTTGACTCATTCGACAGATCAGTCGACCAATTCATGGGCACTGACCGTTCTTCAATGTAGATCACAATATTCACCTCGAACACGAAGATCTCTACAAGGAAAAGTTAATGAGAATAGTCTTAAATACCATAGCATTTAATTGGTAATGATAATAATAGTTTCATTGCAAGTTCCTGTTATTTTGAAGGCCCGCTCGCGGTGATGTTGTGAGTAGGAATCGATGTTGTCACTGATTGTTACTGGTTGGTGTCTTCACGACTAACTTCCGTTTGATTCACTTTTCATCATTCTGCGGAAGATGTTATTAATGCTTACAAATAGACGAAACGATAAGTGCACACAAGAACGCACGGAATGACATTAATGAACTGAATTGTAAGAGTGACTGCGATCTAGTCGAACACCGCAAAATGAAAACACAATGGTCGTCAGTTGTCATTACGCCGTTCAGATACTGTCACCAAATCTAATATAATCACGATGTGGGTCTGTGCCTCAATCGACGCACTCACTCAAGCAGTCGGTCAGTCGATCGTTCAACCAATCAGTTTATCAATCAACTGAACACTGAGCACAGCACAAACTCAAATCTCATGTGACCATGTATGGAAATAGATGCGAACAACACGTGACTTCTGACGAAACAATATGGACCTACCGAAATCGTCTGATGTAGTAGTTGATGATGGGCTCGTCGTCTTCACTGTTGATGTCGACTTCACCGTCTCCGTTGTCCTAATCGGTTATGCGAATTCGGTTGAGACAGTAGTTTTACATGGGATGAGGAACAAGAATCAACAGACTGAAAGCAAGGACTTCTCGTCAAAATACAAAAGAAAGGCGATCTCAGCAAGTGTGATAACTATAGGGGCATCACTCTTCTCTCTATACCGGGAATAGTCTTCAACAGAGTATTGTTAAACAGGATGAAGGACTGCGTAGACGCCCAACTTCGAGAAAAACAGGCAGGATTCCGTAAGGATAGATCGTGTACAGACCAAATCGCAACTCTACGGATCATTGTGGAACAATCAATTGAATGAAATTCATCACTCCGCATCAACTTCATTGACTATAAAAAGCATTTGATAGCGTGGGCAGGACAACACTATGGAAACTTCTTCGACACTACACCGTGCCTCAGAAGATAGTAAATATCAAGGGGGAATACCTATGATGGATTAAACTGCAAATGTCAAGACAGTTCTACTGTATGCGGCGGAAACCTGGAGAACTACGAAAGCCATCATCCAGAAAATACAGATGTTTATTAACAGTTGTCGACGCAAAATACTTCGGATCCGTTGACCGGACACCATCTGCAACAACCTACTGTGGGAGAGAACAAACCAGATTCCAGTGGATGAAGAAATCAGGGTGAAGCGTTGAGAGTGAATAGAACACACATTGAGGAAGGCACGCAACTGCGTCACAAGTCAAGCCCTCATATAGAATCCTCAAAGCCATAGGAGAAGAGGAAGTCCAAAGAACACATCAGGACGAGAAATGGAGATAGAGAGGAGAAAAACGAACGACAATTGGATAGAACTAGAAAAGAAGGCCCAGGACAGAGTGGGTTGGAGAATGCTGTTGGGCTGCCTATGCTCTTCTGGGAGTAACAGGCGTAAGTAAGTAATATATATAGCCAGAGAAATATACAGTAATTTTTAAGAGTAGATGGATAATCACTAGTAATAGAATGATAGGATTGTCATTTCGTTTTATTATTGATTCATCAGCTGAATATATCAGCAACTCAGAGTTAATTTCCACACTGGGACTTAAAACCATCACCTCTCTCTTTAAATGCTAAATGCACTGTTCAATAATAAAGAAAAACTGACGAGTCGAGATAGATAGTGGATTACTCAAAAA